TTACTTTGTCGTAATTTCATAAACGAAAAGTATGTTTTAATATCAAAAGTAAGGAAAAGACAAAATCTAAGAATAAAAGACAATCCTTTAAGTTAAATAAGCTTTACACTATGAAAAACTTGTTCCACTGTGCTCATTTTTCTCATTGTCCCTCTGACCGATAAAAAGTTTGCCACAGACCAGCACCAATTTCCAGACTAGCATTTGGGAATCTCTAGGTTAAATTTCAAAGGCAACCACTAAAATGCATAAATATTGAGAAATAACACTACAAACATGTTTACTTCTGTGTAGATTCCCTGTAGCTTCTTGAACCCTGGCCATCGTTGGAGGGCTCTGCTTCCCAGCAGAGTGGTGAGGTGGGAGTTCATCCTACTTCTTCCTCCTTGTGGCATGAGAGCATTCTTCCTCCCTTCTCCCTGAAATCCCCAATGTTAAACCTCATGTTATCAGATTGTATCATCCAATGCCCCTCTTCAGTAGGGTTATCTATTGACCCCAGGGTCCTTCCTTCTTCTTTCATGTTAATTTTAATGCCTGGCAATCTGTCATTCTCACCAGTACTACTCTCAATATACACATTTTTTAAAATAGACATTTGCTATGAGCTAGGCCTTATACTAACTGCTTTAGAAATAGTAACTCCTATGTTGTATGAAAGGAGAGAAGGTTAGCCCTCTCCTTGACAAGAATGGAAGAGGTCCTCAGACCTTGCAACATGCATATGGTTAAGGCATTGCTGCCTATTTTGTGGAATCTAACCATAGTTTTTGATACTACTCATGAATGCGGTGCTCCATTAATATAATGTATTTATGAAACCAAAGGTTAACAATTATTCCAAAGCAAAAGTGATAAGATAAGGGGGCAGGGAAACTAGAGTACTGGAAATAGAAAAACCAGAGTGCAATTAAATGGAATGTTGACATATCTTGAAAACTGTAGCAAATGTCATTGAACAATTTGTGAAGAAACTGTCAGATGGGAAACTAACTTGCTGTGTAAACTTTCATCAAAAAAAAAATATATATATATATATTAATAATAATAAAAAAAGAAATAGTAACTGCCCTCCCACTGATGCTGTCGTAGTCTGAGTCCAAGCGCTCTTCATTTCTTGAACAGACTTTTGCATCCATATGTTAGTCATCTTGGCTCCCATGTCAGAGCTTTCCATCTACTCTGCACAACTATCTGAACTTGGCACTTTACTCTTAGATATCTTAGAAGGTTTCTGTGCTGGATCTCTTACCCCATCCTTCTCCATCCTGTTCTTCGCAGGAGGTTGACCTGGCTTTGGGGTTTTAGTGGCATTTTACCCATGGGAAGCACCTGCAGGAGCTCAGAGGGTGAAGTGACTGTGAAATCAGGCTACTTATCTCTGAGTAAAGTGATGATCCCTTTGGCTAAAATAAGTAAAAATAAGTATTAATATGTGTGGCAACCTCTCTGCCAAATTGCCTGGGGCTGGCTGTGTTCCTCCAGGGCAGGCCATCTGGAGTTTCTGTCCATACAGCACTGCTGTGGAAATTCCTATAACTACTCCCTTCTCCTGCCACTTCCAGCCTAAGGTGGTGACTCCCTGCTTTGCTGCGCCAGGTACTATACTGTTTCTTCCTTGTTTCCTTAACTGCTGCCCACAACTTTGTAAATAAACCTACTCCTTACTTGTTGACTGTATCATTATGTGACATTTCACATTTACAACAATAATAAAAAATCTACTATCCAACTATTTTGTGCATTAATGGCATACATCTGGCATTAACGAAAGCCAAGTTGCAAAGTGAAAGTAACACTGAATGTAATAGTTAAGGTTATGTGTCAACTTGGCTGGGCTATAATTCTGATGTGATCATCCTCCATTTTTCATAATGCTGATTTTTGCATAATGACCTGGTCTTTGGAGCCTAACCATGTCGATAAGTGAGGAAAGGGTGTAGTCTGTTATTAAACTCTCTTCAATCACTCACCAGCACTAGTCTGTCAGTTTGTTGTACTGTGGTGGCTTGAGTATTGCTGTGATGCTGGAAGTTATGCCACCAGTATTTCAAATAACAGTAGGGTCACCCATGTTGGACAGGTTTTCAGTGGAGCTTCCAGACTGAGACATACCCAGAAGAAGGACCTGGTGGTCTACTTCTGAAAAAAACTGGCCAGTCAAAATCTTATGAATAGCAGAAGAACATTGTCTGAAATAGGGCCAGAAGATGAGCCCCTCAGGTTAGAAGACACTCAAAATACTACTAGGGAAGAGCTGCCTCCTCAAAGTAGGGTAGACCTTAACGATGTAGATGGAGTCAAACTTTCAGGACTTTCATTTGCTGAAGTGGCATGACTCAAAATAAGAAGAAACAGTTGCAAACATCCATTAATAATCAGAACATGGAATGTATGAAGTATGAATCTAGGAAAATTGAGAGATGTCAAAAATTAAATGGAACACATAAAGATCAATATCCTAGACTGGTATTGGCCATTTCAGATTGGACAATCATATGGTCTTCTATGCCAGGAATGACAAATTGAACAGGAATGGCATCACATTCATTGTCAAAAAGAAATTTCAAGATCTATCCTGAAGTACAACACTGCCAGTGATAGGATAATATTCATAAGTCTACAAGAAAGACCAGTTAATATGACTATTATTCAAATTTATGCACCAACCACTAAGACCTAAGGTGAAGAAATTGAAGATTTTTACTAACTTCTGCAGTCTGAAATTGATCAAACATGCAATAAAGATGTATTGATAATTACTGGTGATTGAAATGCAAAAGTTGGAAACAAGAAAGATCAGTAGTTGGAAAATATGGCCTTGGTAACAGAAATGATGCCGGAGATTGCATGATTGAATTTTGCAAGACCAACGACTTCTTTATTGCAAATACTTTTTTTTGCAACAACGTAAATAGCAACATGCACGTGGACCTCACCAGATGGAATACACAGGAATCTAATCAACTACCACTGTGGAAAGAGACAATGGAGAAGCTCAATATCATCATCCAGAACAAGGCCGTAGGCTGACTGCAGAACAGAACATCAATTGTTCATATGCAAGTTCAAGTTGAAGCTCAAGAAAATTAGAGCAAGTCCATGAGAGACAAAATAGTACTTTGTGTATATCCCACCTGAATTTAAAGACCATCTCAAGAATAGATTTGATGCATTAAACACTAATGACCAAACACCAGACAAATTATGGAATGACATGAAGGAGATCATACATGAAGAAAGCAAAAGGTCATTAAAAAGACAGGAAAGAAAGAAAAGACCAAAATGGATGTAAGAAGAGACTCTGAAAGTTGCTCTATTCTGTAGCTAAAGTGAACAGAAGAAATGATGAAGTAAAACAGCTGAACAGAATATTTCAAAGAGTGGCTAAAGAAGACAAAGTAAAGTATTATAATGAGATGAGCGAAGACCTGGAGTTAGAAAACCACAAGGGATGAACAAACTCGGCAATTCTCAAGCTGAAAGAACCAAAGAAAAAATTCAAGCCTTGAGTTGCAACATTGAAGGATTCTATGGGGAAAATGTTGAACGATGCAGGAAGCATTAAAAGAAGATGGAAAAAATACACAGAGTCACTGTACCAAAAAGAATTGGTCGGTGTTCAACCATTTCAGGAGGTAGCATATGATCAAGAACTGATGGTATTGAAGGAAGAAGTTCAAGCTGCACTGGAGGCACTGGAGAAAAACAAGGCTCCAGGAATTGACAGAATACCAATTGAGGTGTTTCAACAAATGGATGCAGTGCTGGAGGTGCTCACTCATCTATGCCAAGAACTTTGGAAGATGGCTACCTGGCCAACTGACTGGAAGAGATCCATATTTGTACCCATCACAAAGAAAGGTGATCCAACATAATGCAGAAATTATCAAAAAATATCATTAATGTCATATGCAAGTAAAATTTTGCTGAAGATCATTCAAAAATGGTTGCAGCAGTACATCCACAGGGAACTGCTAGCAATTCAAACCGGATTCAGAAGATGATGAGGAATGAGGAATATCATTGCTGATGTCAGATGGATCTTGGCTGAAAATACCAGAAAGATGTTTATCTGTGGTTTATTGACTATGCAAAGGCATTCGACTGTGTGGATCATAACAAATTATGGGTAACGCTGCAAAGAATAGGAATTCCAGAAAACGTAATTGTGCCCCAGAGGAACCTGTACATAGACCAAGAGGCAGTTGTTCGGACAGAACAAGGGGATACTGTGTGGTTTAAAGTTAGGACATTTTTGTGTCAGCGTTGTATCCTTTCACTATACTTACTCAATCCGTATGCTGAGAAAATAATCCAAGATGCTGGACTATATGAAGAAGAACGAGGCATCAGGATTGGAGGAAGACTCATTAATAACCTGCTTGCTGAAAGCAAAGAGGACCTGAAACACTTACTGATGAAGATCAAAGACTACAACCTTCAGTATGGATTGCACCTCAACATAAAGAAAACAAAAATCCTCACGACTGGACCAATAAGCAATATCATGATAAATGGAGAAAATATTGAAGTTGTCAAGGATTTCATTTTACCTGGATACACAATCAACACCCATGGAAACAGCAGTCAAGAAATGAAAGCACGGGGGGGAGGTGGAGCCAACATGGTGCTATTGACAGAAGCACCATGCCATCCCTCTGCAGCAAAGACCCGAAAAACTTAAGTAAAACAGACAGAAACATCAGTCCTGGAACCTAAGCACCAAATGAAGGAATAAAGAACTTGATCAAGTGCTTAATGGAATAAGAAATTGACAGAGAACAGAGAACAAGGAGAGCTACGGAGCTCCCAGCAGGAGACAGAGCACCTGGTAACCAGGTATACACACTTCCCCACTCCCATCCTTCTTCCTTCTACAAAGCCTCTGCTGCTTGCCAATGGGCCACACTTGCTCAGCCAGAGAGACACTAGCTCACTGCTACCAGGGTCTGCCCAACACCCACCAGCTGGCCCCTTCACTGCCGTTTTTTGTTTGTTTGTTTGTTTTGGTTTGCATTTTTGTTTGTTGATTTTTTTTTTTTTTTGGCTTTTTTGTTGTTGTTGTTGCTCCTCTCTCTCTCCCTTCCTTCCTTCCCTTTCTCCTGCCCAGCTAGCCCCTTGTGCCATCCTCTCCCCTTCTTGACAGGCTGTGATTTTTTGGTTTGTTTGCTTTGTTCTTTTGTTTTGTTTTGTTTGTTTATTTTTTGATATTGCTTTTTTGGTCTTTTTTGTTGCTTCTCTCTCTCCCCCTTCCTTCCTTTCTTTTCTTCCATTCAGCTAGCCCTATATTCCATCCCTTCTCCTTCTTGGCGAGTTGTGATTTTTTTGGTTTGTTTGCTTTGTTCTTTTTTTTTTCTTTTCTTCTTTTTTTCTGTTTCTACTCTCTCTCTTCTTTCCTTTCTCCTGCCCACCCAGCCCTGTGCACAGCCCCTTCCCCTTCTGGAGGGGCCGTGTCACACAGCTTGGTTGGAAAGTCACTGTACGTGGCCTCCCAGGGTCTGTGCCACTGTCACCAACCAGCTCCCCCAGCACCATTTTATTTACTTCTTTATTGTTTGTGTTTTTTTTTTTTTTTGTTATTGTTTCTTCTCTCTCTCTCCCTTCCCTCCTTTTCTTTCTCCCATTCACCCAGCCCCATGCCGTCCCCAACTTCTTAGTGGGCTGTGCTGTACCGCTCAGCTGGACACCCTCTGGCACTCAGCCCCCCTGGGTCTGCACTGCCCCCACAGTGGAACCTAAGTACCAAATGAAGGAATAAAGAACTTGATCA